ATAGGAGTTGAGAAGGATGGACAAGGTAAACCGTCTGCTTCAGTGTTTTTCAAACTTGGCGACTTTAAGACGTATGGACTTCAACTCCCAGAATTCCCCAGCCAGCATGCCAATTCCCCAGCCAGTTGCCAAGTTTGAAAAACACCGATCTAGAGAGCAGTGGATCACCAGATCCAGTCCCTGAGATGGCTTCTGCCCAGAAAGGAGTTTTCATCCACAACCTGCCAACAGCTGGGCTTTCCTTCACATAATAATCTGAATAAATTGGCAAGTTACTTTGTGGGCTTGGAGTAAGAGTAGTTTTAAGAACCTGAGATGTCCTGAACCTGAATTGTAGCACTGCAGGTGCAAAATCGCTTTTTTTTTTTTTTTTTGCTTCTGTACGATGAAAACCTCCAGCACAGGCTTTACATGAAACCCAGAGCCCTGGTGTTCTTGGTTGAACTTTGATGTAGCCAGTTGTGAGAACGCTGCCATTGTGGTTTATCCAATAAACCATGGTAAAATGATGGCCAAGCATGAGACATGAACCTAGCCTGTATGTAGAAAGCTTCAGTGTGTTAAAAAAAAAAAAAAAACACTCCTCCCCTACCCTTTCCAATTTGCCTATGGAAAAATGGGGATCTTTTGGAGATTCTAAGGAATGTGTGTCTTAAGGAGTAAAGTGCTTTTAAGGTTTAGGTAGACCTCTGCATAAGGCCCATTTTCCATCTCTGGTATTGGTGGGTATGTGGACAACTTTGCTGTATCTCAAATGGATGAGCTTCCTGTTGAGTGTATTCACAGGACTCTTGCACCCTTGATTTGCCAACCCTTCCCAGAGTTGGGATGGAAGACTTTTAAATATGAGCTCACCTATAGAAGAGAATGTATGCAGCTCAGGGTTGAACTGTGGAGTCCTTGGGGTTCCCTGAGCTTGGTTGTGGTCACCTGGGGACTCCATGAAGACAACCATGTCATCTTCTTGGCAACAAAGGAAGCACTTTCCTTCTGGAATCCTTTCTTTTTTTAAAATCCCCCAGCCTAGATTACAGCAGTGGGCTTCCTTGTGGTCTCTCCTCCAAGTACTAATCCGGTTTCCTCCCGATCAGCTTTTTGAGATCATCCAAGATTAGCTAGCTGTTGCTCTCCAGCTGGATACCTTAAATAAATGATGATTACGAGACTGCTCGGCATCTCTTAAAATGCCTTCTGTCCAAAGGCAGAGTTTACGTGTTCCAGAGGGCAGCTCACTCAGTCCTGAAGCCATAAAAAGCAGGAGGCGGCGTGCGGGGAAACCGCAAGAGATGATGAGGGATTGAGGGCTGTCCCAAGGTGAAGGACTGGTAATTAAGGCTTTAGGCACTCACAAAGAGCCTGCAATTCCGTCTGCGCTGGCTGCTCCTCCAGTGCAATCCAGATCGGCTCCTTCCTTGGAAAAATAAGAAAACAGGATTGCATTACTGAATTTTAGAAGGTCCTTGGAAAAGTAAAAGGTAGGTATGCAGAACCATAAGAGAGCTGATGTAGAACCAAAGGCTGCAGTTGGTCCTGATTGCACCAGATATTTTTTGCCCCCCAGCTTGGCTTAATCACAAGCTCTTTGTTTCTCTTTTTATTTACAAGAATCCACACCATTTCATTGCTGTTTGTTTCCGGAGGACCTTGCTGGTTTTATTGCGGGGTGGGTGGCAGAACATATGACATATGCATTACTGTACTAGTTGCATAATACTGTATTATGTCTTCCGGGCCCTGAGGCCAACGGTGGAAAACTCATAGAATATAAACATCAAGAATCCGGAGAGTTATTTAATACAACAAATCCAGGAAGCCAGAAATCAAAGGTGCTGTGGGTTTTGGCAGATCACTGGAAAAGGAATTGGAAATTTCAGAGCATTCTTTTTATGGGTTGCTGTTGTAGAAGATTTTGTTGGACAGGCGTCCAACGCCTCTGGATCAGGGCGTTCAGAAAGCTCAGTTTCCTAGGGGGAAAATAAAATAAGTTTTTGCCCAAACTGATCAGTTCTAAATGAACATGGCCATGTCTGGTAGGTTTTCCCCAAGGACGTGTAAGAACCCAAAAGTGGAAGATATTTTAGCAAAAATATGTTGGTGGTTCCTTTAATTTTCTGCTTCTTTACTGTTTGATTCTCTGAGAGTGACAAATCAGGGGCTTGGGGTGATATTGTAGATCTAGGAAGGGCAGACTTGGGTGCCCAAAGACCACACTTGGTTGCAGGGGGGCACCACAATTAGTTGGAAGGTTGGGGGTTTCTTTTCTATTTTTTTTTTATGGTGATATGCCTGCTTGGAGTTTCATTTTTGCACGTCCCCCATCTAAAAAGCAGAGGAATACTGTACTTTGTTAGATTCCAAGGGACCCTCATGAGCGGGCACACGTTGCTCTCTCCTGTTGCAGATGTTCCTGAAAACATTTCTCTCTGCAGAATCAAGGTGGGGTAATTTTGAGTTTCTTTTTCACAATTTCCTCTTTCCCTGGTGCTTCTCCTCCCTTAACAGCTCATCCATTCCTTCTCCAAGATCATCTCTGCGTTCCTTTACGTAGGACGATGCCATATTCTGAGAGTAGCCATAGGCAAGCTGGTGTCTGGACACAGCCAGGATGTTAACCATGATGGCTACTAATATCATCATGGTTAGAAAAATGGGAAGCAACGTAAAATGAAGCTCATAGCAATTTCCCAAAAAGCAAAAAATGTTTCACAGAAGTAGGAGGTTCTGACACAGATGTCAGGGTGAACGAAAGACTGTATGCCCAGGGCTTTGTAATCTAAGATCAAAGCGTGAATCAGGACATGATCTGTGTCTGTAAGCAGCTCATTCATATGTCCTAAGTAACAGCTGGTTTTCAATCCACTGAGTAATTGGGGCCTATAAATAAATTTTTCCAAAGGTGAAGACCGAGGCAGCGCCTGGATGATTTGAATGAGTCATGAACTTGAATCCTGAATCGTGACTTTTCTTATTTGAAACTTGTGTGTAATTTTATATATCTGTACAAGAAGCCGTGATACATGAATTTTTTGTTGCTTTCCGATTTCTTTTCCTCTTTTTTCTGTTCCGTTTTATTAAGTAAAAGCAAAAAAAAAAGTTTGAAAAAAGGTCCGAGGGTGAGTTAAGCGGACATCAGAAAGGATTTCCAATACCTTCTCCTCCTTTGACATGGTTCCTCTCTTATCAGAGGCTGTAGGTTGACTAACCCTAGATCAGTGTTTCTCAACCTTAGCCACTTTAAGATGTGTGGACTTCAACT